GGGCAAAGGATGGCTTAATTCAACCCCTGCAAGAATGATAAAATTAATTTATCATGAACACATGCAGGAAATATAATCAGAAAGATGTCAGCAATATAGTGCAGTTCTGAAACCAATGAGGTAATGTTTAGACCTATTCAAATGTGTCATGGAATAAACAAACAATCTTTTGCCATTTTTTATTATTATTTTGCAACAAACCAAAAGCCATGATCCCATCAAGCTTAATTTTTCAAAACATTTCGACTTTGAAACCAAAGTTCTTCTACCACTGAACATCATATATATCCTGATTAAACAGATATAGAATCAGACAAACCTTTGAGAACACTATACCCACAGATATTAGTCCTGCAGTATCCTTACAATGGCAGTATTTAGTGAACAATGCCATGTCAGGTAACCTCCAAAAGAATTTCACAAGACTTTTTGTACGTTTTGAGGTATTGATTAAAATTGTACCTCATTTCAACTAAAACAAACTTGTATTACCCTTAAGCAAACATTACTGAACATTTACCTTCTAATAAAATTTGTTTTTCAACAACCCGAAAAGCAAGAATTACTTTGTAATGATGAATTCAAGTGTTGTTCTTGGCTAAACATCAATCTCAGACCCACTCAAATAAGGGCATATCATAGAAAATTACAACAAAAAAAAAGTAAAAGTGTAATGTACGGTTCAGAGGACCCAAAAACACCCGGAGGCAGACGGTCAGTTCGAACAGGTTTATTATACGGGACCAAACCTGAGGGGGTGGTCAGACAGGCGAGGTCGGTAACGGGAGATCAGTCCAGCAATAATCCGAAGGGGTAATCCAAAACGGAGTCCAGAAACGAGCAGGGGTCGAGGCCGGGGAAGCAGTCCAGGGGGATCAGGCGGGAGCGCGGAGTCAGGCAGGCTGGGTCGGGGACACGGGCAGGCAGGCAGGCACTGAGTATGACCAGGCAAACCTCAGGCGAAGCAGGATAGACAGAAGAGGGGCAGGCAGGCTCGGAAACGGGGTCGAACAGGACGTAACAGGCAGGCAGGCAGGAACAACGCTGGAAGTACTCGTACAATTGGTTAGAGACGTTCTGGCACAGGTGAGTGAGTGAGTGGGGCTTATGAACTGCCCGGGACAGGTGCGACCAATGTCGCTAATTGCAGGCAGAGTGAGTGAGCCGGTGGGCGGATCCAGATCGTCACAAAAAGCTGCAAACAAAAACTTTTCTTTAAATGTT